TGCCTTGAAAATCACGTTATGGGACATAGTAAATCATATGTTCCATAACGTGATTTTCAAGGCAAAAACCCCATATGTTAATCTAAAATTTCATTAGATTTCTTGTGCTAGAAGGTATTGTGACGAATCGTAAATATCTCGTGACCCTGTGATCTGTCATTTGATTCCTCTCATCGAGAGGAATCGAATGGTATAAAAATCATTGGATTCTGACCACAGGATCACGAGATATTTACGATTCGTCACAATATCCTTTACTATAGTATTTTATATGTATTCTACATATCTATATGCTTAAAAATGAATATCTCGTGGCTCAGTGAACCAAATTGGACGATTATTATATCATTCAATTCCTCTCAATGAGAGGAATCGAATGGCATAAAAATCGGTCGATTCTGATCACTGTATCACAAAAGTGATTATTTGTAATATAATATTAATTTTAGTATCTCGTGATTTGGTGGACATAAACAAATGAAACTTACACCATTCATTAAGACATGTAAATTTCATTCGATTCTGATCACGGGATCACAAGATATCGCGATTCGTCACAATACCTACTTCGTCATAATACCCCTATTACCTTTATAATAATTTTTTTAGACATAGTACAATAAAATTAACTAAAGAAACTACCAACCAGCATCCTTGATTAATTGAGCGTGATATATGTCATTTTTCACTTCAAATTGCTTTAAAATAGGGTCATAAGATACCCAAGCAATTGTTTTTTTGTTAGCAATAGGTATATAATTAAGATTATTGGTATTACATTGATAATTATTTTGTAAATATCCGAAAGTTCGGTTGACATCAGCTTCCTTGTCAAAGAAAAGCGAATAGAATTTGAGCCATTCTAATTTCTAAATTGAACATCTCAGCGTGATTAATAAGGTCAGAAAAAAAAGAATTATAAAGTTTTTTTTTTTATATTATATTACCTGAAGTGGAGTAAGATCATCACCTATGTTTACAATCACATTCTTATTATCATTAGTTGCCTGTGAAGGGTTCAAAAAGACGACATCGACGTTCGCAGTATCACTCCAATTGAAATTTTGAACAGTTTGATTTTCTATATTCTTTCGTAAACAAGGAGATGTAATGCTTGCAATGTTATTAACGTATCTTATCGAAGAATAAACATTTAATAACTTTAATATAAAAATATATAATAAACATTAGATCAATTTTGTTATTATTACATATAAAATTATTGAATTAGAGAAATTTATAGAAGAAGTACCTCCAAAAACGTGACGAAAGATACATCCATAGTTGCAACATTTTTTACAGGTACTTGGAAAAACTTGGGAGCAGGTATATCAGAGACGTTTGGTGCAGAAGCGCTGCAATAAAGGATATAAACCTCATTTGTTCGTAAATTATTAACAACTTTATAAGTGTTATTGTAAGTTACTGTAAAGCCTGCATTTTGTGGTGGTTGGGTTATTAATAGAAAAAGAAAATTAAAAAAAAAAAAGTAATTTGTTAAAAAAGGAAGGAAAAAAAAAAAAAAAAAAAAAAAAGATAGCTCTTACAAGTTTGAATTTGTGCTTCCGGAGGGTAGGAACAATCGGAAACAGCTGGACTGACATTGTAACCAAAGAAAACCAATACATAAATTAAAATTACAGAACGAAGCGTTTTCATCATATTTTTTTTTTTTTTTAAGAGATCATATAACAAAAATGGTCATAAAATTGAAAAAAACGGCTTCACTTTGGGCAAAGCAGTAATTTTTCCTGATAGCATTGCGGACACTATATATATAATTGTAGTACCCCCTTCCATATCGCAATATGAAATAATAAATTACTGACTAAATTCATCACATTCTCAAAATACTACGTAATACAATTTAAATGTACTCACGTGTAACAAACATCACCTTTTGCAGTATCAACATGTTATGTCGATATATCAGGATAGTAACAAGTTACGAGTTACGCCAGATAACTAAGGTTATTTCAATTTAACTTATTTAATCAAAATTTTATCAATTTATATAAATATTTTGACTTGATCTGGGTAGTTTATTTTTACATTACAGCACTACAAGCATTTATTAGTTAAGTTCCTTGATGGATCACCTACTGTATACGTACGTACGTACGTACAGAATGGTTTTCTTTTTAATTGGTTAATTTAAAACAATCACCGGGTACCTTACGTTTTGCCGGTATTTAAGAACTATCATTTTTGCAAATGAAAGAGGATTTAAAAAACTATTAACATTTGTCCTAGAAATGTGAAATTTCTAATATGGCACTGCATGTATTATAGTCAATGAACCGCATGTAATTATTATATATCAAAGACAATTGACTTCTGAACTTGTTAAAAAAGTAGACGGTTTACTAAACTAAGTATGTATATGAAGTTTCATTATCTAAGAATTCATCGTTAAAATGCATGAATATATATATATATATTTAGTAATAAAAATGTTTGAAATCTTAAATAGGGTGATTCAATTTCATGGAATTAACCAATCAGGGCAAGTTATTCTATATGGATTATATGGATTGTATGTTGTACCATCCTTGGTATTAATATGACATATGAAGCCTTATCAGGAATAAATGCACTTATTAAAGTTTTGTGTTTATTTAATTTTTTTGACTCCTTTTTTTTTAATAAATCATAAATACGTATACCGTATAAATAAATACTTATCGGAGTAACGGACTTAATTCTAAGACAGTAAGATGATACAAAAGTATCATTTTTGAATACATTAAGTTCAATTAGTAAATGACAATTAAAATCCGTATTTATAAGCGTACAACTACGTTAATATATAAAGTAAAAAACCAGAAACAATTTACAGAAATTTGTTGCAAGTTCGAGACGGAATCTCTGTTCCTATTTTTAGCTAACAGGTGTTTTATCTGTTATATATCGATATCGATATATGCTGTATGTAACGGTAAGCACTGTACGTAAGTGCGCAATAAAATAAATTTTTTTTTAATGGCTTCTTATCTAATAAACTATCAATGGCGCACATTATCCAAAGTTTTGAAACTTTGATTACGCCATATAGTTAGTGTATTTATATCGTAAAATTTATCTAAAAACTTCGTAAAAGATTGGTTATCGTTATGAAAACAAAAAAAATTAAATTTGTTTAGTCTAAAGTTTAATATTTTACAAACTGCTTACAAACTGCTTATATATGTGTATACCTTACACATCGCAACAGTTGATTTCACGGGTGGATAGACAGATGGACGTTTACATAGCATAATCTTTCTAACTGCATAAAGTTCATCTTTAATCTTTCTAACTGCATAAAATTCCTCTTTACGCTTTAGATTAAAAAAAGATAAAAAAAAAAAATGTGTTCATTGTTTTTTTTCAATTAAAAACCAAATACTGTATGTATATAATTTTTCTTTTTTGATAACTACACTGGCAATCATAAATAATGCAACCCGTGATTATTTTTATAATAAAACATAGTAACTTTGGAAATTTTCATCTATGATAAAAATTTTTAACAAAAATTTTTT